CCACCCACCCCTTCAGGGTAGGGTCAGTACCTTGACTTGGCAGGAAAAGCCTATAAACCTTCCTCCATTGATTGACTGCTCCTCTGTATCTAACTAACGTTACTCCTCCGCCCTTGAGCCACATACTGCGATTGGAGTGTGTGCATGTTCGTGTGTACTTTACAGTCAATACCATTTGTGTGTACGGCTGTGCACACATGTGCACGGCTGCACACTGCAGATTAGGATGAGATCAATGTGTTTGAATGTGTCAAGGTTAAAGGAAGCTGTCAGCACACATTGCCAAAATAGAATGGCATTCATCCAATAGAAAATCTCCCCTTGTTCCCTTCTGCCTTTATTTCTTCCTACACTGTCTGTTTTTTGCTTTTTAATCTCCCCGCTCTTCTCTATGTCGGCCTTTCTATCATTTTTTACCCATCCCCCTTACATCCTTCTTTCAGGTAATTGTTTCTTCCAGATTCATTCTCTTGTAGAAGAGAAAAAGCTTTGAGGAGAATAACTTTTGTGATTCTCTGCCAATCAACTGCTTTTTGATTAGATAGCAGAATTTTCTACTAGTGTGCACTGTTGTTTGTCCAGAGTTATTCAAGCTGAATGTTTAGCATAATTACCTAATTGTGGTTCAATGTGTCTTTTTGCTCTTTTAATTTTTAACTGAAACAAACATCATTTTCAGATTCTGAATAATGCTTAGTTAAGTATTAACTACTACCTGTGTTTAAATCCTTTGAATTACAGGGTCATTTGGTGCCTTCTGATGAAATAACTGTGTACTACCGCTGCCAGCCAGAGGGGCAGTACCTGAGCTCTGTGATCCATGCGCACACTGACTTCATCCTGGCCACCACCAAGGCTCCCATGATGCCCTTCCCTGTCCCTAAGAATGCCACTGTCATTATAGAAGAAAAGACTCAGGTATAAGGACACAGCCAGTTTTAAGATGTATAAAATGGGTTGGTAACAGATAATGAGGGTTATGATAAGCACAACACTTTGGTGTGGAGTTGATTGATTAGTATGCCCAAATTGTCAATTTAATCTTTTCATGTTGACAATGTCCCTCTTTGTAATCCCTGTGTAACTATTAACTGAATGTATTTGTTTTTTAAACCAAAAAAGAGGTACTTGTACAACAAAGAATGTCAGTATGTTTTTGTCATGCTCTTGTATTTGTGTTGCAGCTGAAGGGATCAGACCTGGAGTTAACCATAGTGAAGGGGTCTTCAGCCCCTCGCGCTCCTCTAAATGGACCAGCTTGCAGCTACGTGAACATCAGGATGAAGGTCAACAACAAAGAACAAGGTAAAGCGAAAAATACAATCAGTTTTTCCTGCCAGAAATGTTTTTAAAGAATATGTATGTACTGTTAAAGTGTTGCTATGTTGCTAATCATGTCTGCCTGGTTTCCTGTTCAGAGGGGGTGGTGCTGTTGGAGAACCCCAAAGGGGATAACAGACAAGACTTGAACAAGCTGAAGAAAGTGTGCAGCAGCATCTTTGGAACCAATAACACCCAGCTCAGATTCTTCAATAGTGGCACTGGTAAGAATTGTTTTTTTTTTTACCATAACTGCAGCGAATCACTGTTATGGTAGTAACACCTGCCATGTCATATTACTGCTGACAAAATGTAGCAAAATGTTTTCAATAATAGTTTATCAAAAAATGTAAAACTAAATACTTAAAGGTGGGGTATGTCATTTTGGAGAAACCAGCTCGAGTGCGCTAGAATTTGAAAATACACAACCGGAAAAAATCTGCCACTTCCTTAGAGAGCCCCTCCTCCAACACACACGAACGCGCACATGACCAATGAGGGCACGAGATAAGTTTGTGCACAGATGGAAGGCTGACAGGCAGGTAGGCCATCCAGTTATTTTAGCCGGGCCGGCTCAGATGATTGGTCGTGCTTTTTACAGTACTACGGCTTCCACAGATGACATTTTTTTATGGATTTTTTTTCAAAGCACTTAAGATATGAATTGCTATCGGGATGTTAAGAGCATTCCATGGAATATAACAAAAAGTGTATCTCGAGCCGGTTTCTCAAACTTACCTACCCCACCTTTAACTAAATACGTAAAACTCTGAGTTAAACACTTTTATGAAGTAATGAATTAATGAATGTAAAGCGTTGTGCTTTTTTCTGTATCATTTGATTAAAACGTTATGTATTTTTATTATTATATTTTCTATTACTACTTTTCCCACTCACTTTTGGAATTTTCCTAATGCCTATATATTAATAACATGGTATTTGATAATAAGAGCAATAATTCAGCCAGTGTTTGTGTGTGTAACTGGACTCCTGGGCCAGCTAGCTTAATCGACAACACTGTTACCTATTCAAACTGAGCACCTTCTTTTCAGCTAGCCAAATCGCTACCTTTTGTAGTTAAAAAAGAGCAGCCATTGAAGTTAATGTAAATCCAGATACTGCACTGCAGACTAGTGTAGCATTAACATCTTAGTGACAGTAGGTAAAGTGTTTAAGCTGTCACGCTAATCACCACCATTTGTTTTTTATTACAGAGTTGACGAGCAAAATAGACCTTCAGGCGTTGAGCGGTAAAACTTTGTCAGTGACAACAGGCTCCGCCCCAGGCCCCGCCCCAGGCCCCGCCCCCACCACTGACTCCCTCCTCTGTCCTTACATCAACCTCCTGCTCTGCAATGCACAACCAGCTGGTGAGAAATACACACACACACACACACACACACACACACACACACACACACACACACACACACACAGAGCCATGCNAATTGTTATTTGTTCCTCCTCAGAACCGAGTTTTGCTTCCAAACCCTGCCACTGTGCTACACTTCCCGCCCCGCCCCGCCCCCGTCTAACTGGACAGAAAGCGGCGAGATGCATTTCCTTAGGAATCGACAAGCAGAACCGAAACTAACATTTATAAACGAACAATTGTGGACACGTACAATTTGCGAATGAGTTCTGCCTTTTGTAAACTGAATTTATCAATAATTTGTCAATAAATCAGGGCGAAAAACGTCACTTGTCCACCGGACAAGTCAATTGAAAGATCTACTTGTCCGATATTGTAAATAACACGTCCCGGACGGTGGGACGTGTACTTTTTGCACACTGTGTCAGTGTCATATAAACAATGCATTTATTTAAACGGACTTACTGTACGACTTTAGAAGGGTCTCCGTGGTTCCTGAACTGAAGAGCCTTGCATGTTTGTGCTGCAGCTGAATGACTGAAAAGAGACACGTTTTCCCTGTGCTTTGAACATTTTAAAAGAGCTGCAGCAACGCTTCTTCTGCTCACTGTCCGACTTCCTAAACACACTGTGTGAAAGGGCAGCCACATTGTAAACCCAGCAGTTCACTTAAATAGACAAATAACCCCCACTAAGCCAAACTATTTCTCATTTGAACTATGAGTTTTGTTAGCATTCCTCTCACTGTGCGGCCATATTGGATTTGAGGTTGTGTCATTGAAGCATAAACAGAGAACAGCGCCTCTTGTGGTTAAAGACTGGTATTCCCAAGACACAGTACTTTTGGTTGAGTACCAGGCCAGCAAAAGAGGAACTCGTGTTTTTTCTGAGTATTCACTGGGAACTAACAACGTTTCTCACTATTTGCAACACCGGGTAATGAAACTCAGCATATTCACTAAAATGCGGATCCATGTTGTGGTCTCTTTCCTGGAAGTCTTTTAAAGGCTTTTCATTCAGTACATTTAACAAGCAAGTATAAGACTGCAACACGTGAAATTGTAAATATAATTTTATTTATTCATTTATTTAACAGCGACAGTGCACATTAATGAACATTTCTGTAAATGTGCCAGAGTTAGCCAAGAGGCTACTTTTCATCTGTAGTCCCTGGACAGATTTTAAAAGTCAACCTAAAACACATTTCATTTCAATAACACAATTGAATGATTTAGATTGGATTAAACTATTTAAAACATATTTTATCATGATTGTTATGATGTCATCAAAAATGTAGGACTCGTGATTTCATCTTCATATACAAATAAATAATACATGTAGGCTACAATGAATAGTTTAAGGTGAAAAGCAGTCAATTCTAATTTCTAAGGAATGAATGTGTGTTATTTTGCTTGATAAAGGACTCAAAGGATGAATTGACTAGTCTGGCTTTACGTATTTGGCCTTCAGGTTCTGTTAAAGTTCCAGCACTAGTCTCTTCCGTTTACACTGCAATATTTGAATGTTAATTATGGCTTAGCTTTAATTATTTTTGTTTTGAATTCAAAGTGTATTGCTATTTTAATATTTCAACATTTCAATCAGGAGAGACCTCATTTTATTTAAAGAACATTTATTGACACATGTCATATGACAAATTTTAAGTCTTTGGCGATTAGACCCCGATCCTGAAATCGTATATCTAAAGGGGAAAATGCAGCCATGAGCATATAGGAAACCCCTCGGGGTCTAGACACTGGTGATGATGATGAAGATCTGGATTTGATGAGGTGATGGGATGAAGGGGAGGTGTGATGAGGTCTTTGGGTTTGCTCTCCTGGCACTGGATATGATGAAAGGAGGTGGATGGGGGGGGAGGTGGGCGGCAGCATGAACACCTGAAATCACAGCTGACTGCAGGAGAGAGGCGAACCATTTTTAAAGTTTGGCTGAAGCACAGTGATTGGCTGCTGGTCTGGAGAATGAGGTGAATGTAATAGGTTATAGACAACGCCCGTGATGAGCTGATTATATGCAGCTGCGGAGTGAATGTATATACCCAGTCTTCCTGAAAGAACTTGCGCTGAGCTTCATTCAAACTATGACTTGTAGAATAAACATCTCAATCTGAAGGACCTGCCACATCATTACAATTAAATGCTTGGTATCATTTTATAAATAGATCTATTTTGTGTTCTAAAGATTGCCTTCATTAATAAATGTGTGTGGGTGGTCTACAATATTAGAGAAATCAATTAGACTTGTATGTCATCCTAAGGAGCCAGTCTGCCCGATTAGTACTTTTACTTTTGAAACCATAATACACCCTGCCGATAAAATGTGTTCAGATTTATACCAAAAATATTTTCAATGAAGGATTTTCTCTTTGTAAGAGCAGGAGAACCAAATCAGACACAAGACACATGAATATTGACATATTTACTAGGAAATGGAGCAGATCTTTACATATAGAAACGTAATCACAGTAATACTTTGAAAAGCCTACATGCTGCTCATCATTGACAAACTAGCCATTAAATCAACATAAGATAGATCAAGATAGACATAGTTTCATGGCAGTAAACATTGATACAATCATCAGTAATAAATGCACATATTTTTTGGAAGTAGCTCTAGCCAATAATCTTATAAAATACAACACCAGATTAATGGCTGATGGTCACAAACAAGATGTACCATGAAAAGCACACATAGCGCAAACTGTGGTACAGGATGCTTCGATGTGCTTCAAATATCTCCCTGAGCACATAGTCTTACAAATCCTTGGATTTTCAAGGTATATCTGACCCATTAAACATCCCACATTGAAATCACACACCACTGAGGGGTCGAACAGGTTTGTTGCAGTCAGAACGGACTTACTTCTAATGGATTAGTTTCCAAATGATACTTTGAAAACACCACTAAGTTCAGCAGAATGTTGCAAACATTACAATACAACACTTTCATTCAACCTTTATCAAAGCAGTGGGTGTCACAATCCAAGTTTGACAGTCAGTGGTTTCGGGGATTTTAAACAAAGTTAGTTACAGATTGATCACAAAGTCATCCATGTGTGTCCCTTTTTAAATGGAGAGAAAGTAAAGTGTTCAAGCTAGAGAAAATACTGGCACTGCAATCATAAAAGGTCATTTCAACATAAAAATAGACAGAAATGTAAACCGTTCCATCTAATCAGAGCACTTTAACAATCTTTCTGTCAATCAAATCCTGAGTGTAGTCTTCAAAACTGTTTTTTTTTTTTTTTAAATCAGGTATTAAAACGTATATATATCATCACCTAACAGCAGAGTAGGAACGTTTTTTAGAGTTTTCATCCATGACACATTCTTTTTGTCTTAAGCATTGATAGTCTGAAACACTAAAGTCTTGGCCATGTGTTGAGATGAGACAACCCCAGATTATATACTACTAGCCCCCATCCCTGTTACAATACTACATCCCCATCTACAACGATTATAGAGGAAAAAAATACAATAATAGTGGAACATTTTTCTTCATATCATGTCATATCACGGCAGGTTAGGTCAAAGAGGAGAAAATATAAATATCATCATCACACGGGAGGCATGGAAAGATGACAGAGTATAAAAGTCACGCATAAAAATCTCAACGTGACCATTTCACTAATTTTTCGGGCCACAATCCTGGTTCCTAACAAAATTGTTGCACCGTCACATTACGAAACCCCTTTTTACTTTGGCATCTTTATCATACGCTTCACATCGTGCGGATGAACATTCGGTCTCTACTTTTTCCTGAATAAACACTCCTCGACTCCTTCTAATCAATCTGAAGCATTCCCTGAGTTTTCAGATTGGTAATTCCTGAGGTGAGCCTAAGAGTGGGTTTTTTATTTATTTCAACCAACCAGCGACCGACTGTATGTGGTATATGAAAATCTAAAAAAATACAATATAAAATATGCAACATATATTTGAAAGTAAAGATTGAACTGAATACAAAAATTAATTAATGCATCTTACACATGATTAGTGCAGAGTAACATTGCATTGGTTTTGGCATAGATAAGAATACCAACGCGGCTCTCTTCTGAGAGGCTCATTGTGAACCAAAAACCAAGAATTAAAAAAAGAAAAATCATACAAGGCAAAAAAAGTAAAAACAAACTCACAGTTACCATCACTCCTCATAATACTATGTACCTGCACGTAATTGACTGTATAATGTTACTTGTGCGTTGCAATATATTACTGTTCAATACTGCTTTGAACTATTGTTAAGGACAATGATTTATCAAGCACTTTTGTACACAGCAATACAAGTACCTGGATGTTAAAATGTGTTAGCCAAATATATTCTCATGTCACATTATAGCTTTGAATGACATTTGGTTGCTGAGAGGCTTCAACAGGAGAAGAAGGGGGAAGCTGCAGCACTCTTGGATGAAAATAAATAAGTAGAATGACTTTTTTAAAAGGCTTTAGAAAAATTTCACATATATATTAATTCGGTGTAAAAGTCGTGTCAGCGTCTCCTGTAGAACGGGAGTAAATCGCCGAGTCGCTAGCTAGTTCTACATGCTCCTCCGTGCAGGCTTGGTGTTCCTGAGCTATAACCCTCCTAAGGGTCATAGGGAGGTAATGTCTTAAATAACTACCTAGAAATGATTCACACTGAATATAAACAAAACACCAGCCATCCCACTGGCGACATCCTGTTTGATTCTGCCTCATTTTATTCAAGTATCAAGAGGAGAGCTAGTTGGACCCACAGTATCTCAGTCCAGGTCAAGTGTCTTATCAGAAGTGATGAGGTATCATATTTGTTGGAATTCTATCAAATCCAAGTTGAGGTTTTTATAAAAATGTCAGTACGTTTTTTACATTTCAGCCATTGATGGAAAATAATTAAGCTCCCGGAAACATAAGAGAAACTTGACACCAAACTTAAAAGACTAAAACTACCAATGAGTCGACTAATTGAGGGCCGGCCTACAAAAAAAACGGACTTTCCTTGTCAAATAGTGTTTTATCGTAATTATCGAAATTGATGTGCCCATCATATTCTCTATTTTTCCCAAACCTGACATTAACATATTTTAGGAAAGTTGTTAAGTTCATCCTTAATTGGGTTTTTATTCATTTTAGTGGAAATTCTGTGTAAATACTGTAGTGCAAAAAGGATTTGATTTCATCCCAATAATCTCCAAAGCTGTATTATGAGAATATTTGGTTTACCATCAGCAGTTCAAATGAGTTTTGGTAGCAGACCATGAGGTCGATCGGCACATTTAGACAGCCAGCAAAAGGCTGGACAAAAATAATGAAAATGACAAAAAAATTAACTTGACCGACAGTTTGAAAAACCACTTCTGGTCTGACATTCATTTCGCTCCAGGATCACTGGATGGTCGATTGCAATATTGACATACGCCAATATATTGCCTTAAGCTATACCGTAAAACCCATCCCATATGTTTTCACAAACCCTCCCTCTCCCCATGCGATATGCAAAGTAACATTCATTACAGAGGTCCCAACTTTAAAGTCCCTGCCTTGTCGGATAGTCAGGTGTAACAGTCAGGAAGGGGACTAATTGGTAAGGCAGCCAAAGTGTAACTCTAATACTTAAACACACTTACTGAGTATTACGCAAAACAAAATGAGGTAGACCACCCACTGTAAGGGCAGTTTCACATAAAAACAAAACATAGATTCTACTTAAAAAAGATAATCTGTTATATGGCACTACAATCTCAACGCCTCAAACAGCAGTGATTCGAACATTTAGAAAGCGTCCTGAGTGCAATAATACAGCAGTATTCCTGAGTGTTACACCAACGTAAAACAAATCAACAAAAACTTTAGAAAACATTCTTCATCAGCATTTTTCTTTTTTTAACCTGAGGTAGTTTCAAAAGCAGCTTCGACAGGTGGAAGGGGATCCATGTGTCCCGTCTCACCATCGAAGCAGTTTGATTGGCCTCTGCTCTTCCCCCATAACTCGCCTAATCAGAGGCTTCGGGAGGCGGTGCCGCGAGGCTGTGCTCCCCCTCCTCCACGTTGTCTCCTTTCGAGGGGGGCGGTTTTCCCTGAGATCCTGGCGACGACTGTTGTGCTTTGATTGGGCAGTTGGCAACCATGTGGTCGATGCTCTGGCAGAAATGGCACTTCTTGGGCTGGGGTGGCAACTTGCACTCTTTGGCATGGTGGTCCAGGTCTCCACAGTTATAGCACCTACAAAAAGAACAGAACAATAAATAAATTGCATGTACTGTGTGCTTGAGAATGCAATAATGTATTGTTTGGCCACGAAATTACCGAAATATCTGTCTCTTTAGCTGCTAAATACTGCTCTGATCTGTCTTCTACAGCTTTACAAAGGTCCTATAGAGCCATAGGAAACTAAAACAACATCTCCAAAAAAGTTTAAATATAAAGAAACACCCCCTAGGAGTCACAGTCATTAATTAGGTATGAATGTCGTTAATTGGCTCGGATGGTTTTGGTACCCATTTTGGCATTGGAAGAGAAGCCAGGTGAGCCAGGGAGTGAATATTTTGGGTTGACCGCTCAAATGCAAGACATTGTAAGCCTCAGCGATGGGTACCTCTTGGATTTTTATGCTATTAGGGCTCAAAACACTTTTTAATCAGTCAATCTCATAGTCACTCGTGGCTTTTTTGGGTTGCCCACAAAAGCCTTTAGTCTTAACACAAAAACCAGAAACCATTGTCACTGAAATCCCAAATGCTTCAATACATTTTTAAACTGTAAATAATAATCGCTATATTCAATAAATGTGCTACCTCAAAACAGTACTTGGACACATTGAGTATTGAATGTTGATTGGCTTCCAAACTAATCTTCAGCAAATTCAACTAAAAACAGCTTTCCAGTGTGAAAGTGCACAGTAAATATAAAACATCCAAATGAATAAACAATAACCAAAACACGATTTTGAGTAGAGGGGGATTTCAAGATGCTCCTTTTTGCCACTAGATGGCCACATTTCACCCGGAATGACTTGACATAAATCTTGCAAGGGGCATTTCAGGTCGCACCACACAGCTCAGTGGAGGAGCAAGCTACTACAGAAGGTCTAAAAACATGAGAAAGTGACCAAATGGTGCATTTCTTTTTCATTTGAATCCTTAAAAGCGAGAAGATTTTCTCCAAAGTATAGTCTTATGCAATAATTAACTGGCAAGTCTCTTATTACATGGAGCTGGTATGGTTACCATGACTCATTTACTCAAGGTATCCCTAACAGCTTGTCCTATTTGTCAGGTTGTCACTGCAGAAAGCTTTCCGTTGGCCTCCATTGTACCAAAGTAAGACATGTGTTTCATTGGCATTGAACTTTAGAAATGGACAACTCTAAGGCGTCAGCGGGAGCCATCACGGGGGCCATCGACCAACCTCTGTTCAAACATAACACTAAAGAATGGCCACGCGTGCAGGGGCGTAAGACAGATGGGTGGAGGGCGTGGGGCGATCACTCTGTGCCACTGCGGACCCCCTGCCACCATTGTAGTAGCAGATGATGTTTGAACGGGGCGGATGCAGAGGGGTCAGTGTGGCCGTTGGGGCCGGTGTCAAGGTCTAAACCATCACTTCACAGAAGCTCCCCACATCAGCATCCATCAGGAGGAAAGTGGAGGGAAGGGGAAGTGGTCCCTTTGTCTAAAAAAGCTGCAGTAATGACCTCTGAACCCTGCCCTCCCCGCACTTCTCTAACCCCCCCCAATCCCATCCCAGCCCCCAGTCCTTCCTTTGCATTTACTCATACGATGTTGCCATGGTAGCAGTGACCTTTCACCCCCTCGCCCGGGCTCTTACATCTGTTATCAATTAAATGGACAGGAGCTTTTTTTCCCCACCCTTACTCATATATATATACACAAGCACTCACAAAGGTGGTCTATAACATGTTGGATGGAAAAACAGCTGTTCACTTTGATGGTGGTGGTGGCGAAACCACCCTTGTATCAAAAGAGATCCATGGTCTTGATCAATCAATCGCAAACCAATGAAATCCAGTTGCATATTGAACTACGCTATAGGGGAACGATATCTTATCCATGGATCAGTGTGGTCCAGGGAGAAGTATTGAGCCACAGCAGGCCTCCCAGGACTCTTTGAGGTGGTAATGATCTCAGTTCTCACACCGGCTACTCTCTGGCTCTAATCACAACTGACAGGGAGGTGAAGTTGATACACCTCTAACCCTACATCGATATTCAAAGAAGGACCCAAAAATCAAGGTCCCTGTGGCTCTACTTTCTTTCACTTGGGGGACAATGTTGCCTTTGCATGAAACCCTTGCATCTTCAGAAGGAATGCTTCAAAAATGTATCTTTGCCGATTGATCACCACCAGGAACACTTTAAACTAGGTTCAGATCAAATGAAAATATTTTTTAAAAACACAACTTTTGCCGTGATGAGGAATGACCACAACATAAAGTTGGTATACTTGATCAAATAACTAAGCAAACACTAGACCATTTTTTTTACATTATTCAAATTAAGATAATCTTCTTTGTTATGAGATTGGTTTCGGAGTAACAAATCACATTTGTGGTTGAGGAAGGGAGAGAGAGTCAGTGGGTGTGAATTCACCAGGGGCCAGCAGATTTAAATAGTTATTGATCCAGGTCACACGTCAAGCCTGCTGCTGTGACCCTTGCTAGGGCTAGAGGTGGGGGTTGGGGGTTGAGGAAGAGGAAGCAAAATGGGGAGAAACTAAAACGTCGTCGTATATCCGATCCCAACTGGAAGCAACAAAGAGTCTACATGTTTGAAGACTCCTGAGAATTAAAGCCTCTAAGGGTGTCCAATGTAAAAGGTGAGTTATCGTTTCTCGGCCAATGAAAATCATACATCTCCACATTTGATTCAGATTTGTTTTAGATAAATAGAGGTTTTTTCCACTTTCTTACCTATCTCCCTTTGAGCGTCGCTTCTGGACCTTCTTGCCTTTGGGTCTCCTCTCGCTGCCCACACAGTGGATGCCATCGGGCCCGGTAACTTGCTGCGACTCCAGGCCCTTTGATGACTTCTTGAAGCTAAAATCGACAGCTTCGCCTTCTTTCAAGCTGCGGAAGCCCTCCATGTGCAACTTGCTCTGAAAGGAGACAAGAAAAAAGGGTTCAGCATTAAAAACATTGTTTGGTGGGGATTTTATTACGTGTAATGGTGACTGAGGTTTACCGAAACCTATGGCTTTTTCCCATGAAATTGATCTTATTGTAATATATGTAAAGAACTGATTGTGTTTTTCAGAAACTGCCATATGACAAAACAGTGACCAAATCACCCCCCCCACCCATTGAGCCTGTGAATACTTTAGAGCAACCCCCCACCCATTCCTAGCTGAGTGATACCATCAGAGCCCTACAGGACTTATCAGGTATTTTAATGTGATCATGATGTCCCACCTGATAAACAAACGCCACAAAGCTTGGTGTCTCCCCCCTCCCTCTCTACTGATATGTAAACACACTATACCTTGAATAAAAAGGCACTGTTCTCTTAATGCTGCATTGTCTTTTTGCAGTGTTTGAGTGGTAAACCTGACGAGGATAACCTTCAACCCATCCCCCCCTCCGGAGGAACGGCATTCCTCACTGCTGCCCCCGCCCCATCTCTCTTCCCACCCACATCACAAAGCTCCACTAACACACTGACCACCACCACTAACCCTAAACTGCAGGATGCAGGGGTTAGTGCAGCGGTTGGGGGTGGGGTGAGAAGGCAGCGTGGTTCTCTGGGAGGTTGGGGGTCAGGGTGACATTCCTTGGATAGTTGTTTGGCAGAGACGTGGAAGATAAAAGTTAAAGGGAAAGCACAATTGATCGATATGTTCCTTTGATAACAGAACGTGAATGGCTAACGTTTTTGGGGGAAATTAATGACATGATTTTATTGCATTTGCTTATAGTGAACATTTACTTAGCCTCCTGCTAAGCTATATTCACTGAGACTATGTTCACCTGAAGTGACCTCTGAGGTTTTCTTACTTTCAAACCATGATGAAGGGAAGGGAAGGGAAGGGAAGGTGTGGAGCAGTTTTAAGGATAAAACTCAGATTGGCTATCAAAACATGGGAAACCCCTCTCTGAAATTCCCTTGGTGGGATTGTGAGATCAACGTGTCACGACTATAGAAGCTGTTTACACAAGAGCAAAGATCTATGATGTAGCCGGTTTGTTTTTATAAACATAATCCCATTTTTCTTTATCTCATTTTTGAGTAAAGTCACACCCATCCTTCTAATCATGAACGATGAGCTGCACTCTGTGTTTATCGAAACCACCGGAGATCAAAATGATCTTCTCAAAGCATCCAGTTTGATGTGAAGATAGTCTAGGCTTAGCTTTAAACTGAATCCAACAGAAGGATCCTTTAGGACGGTTTAGTAATTAAAGGATACAAGGGGGTACGATAATAACTACTAATGTCGTATGCAATTACAAAACAAAACCAAACAAAAGCACCATCCTTTCTAATCCTGCGACAGTTGTGAGCATCTGCTGCAAAAGTAGTGAGCCATGACATCTGAGTGGCAACAAGGACGTCCACAAAGCCTCAATCCCATCAGGCCTCTCTTCTTTGGTGACCGTTAACCCACTTCCTCTTCCATGTGTGACCTTCCCCACCCCCATGACAGACCCTCAATAGCCACATCAGGTTATCCACACACACAGCGCAGGTACAGGGGCTTAACTTCAATGATGTAATGTTCAGGTGTATTTTAGGGGGTCTACTGTAAACTTTAACCTTTTCCCAGAATGTGTCTAGAAGCCAAGTGAGGCAGAGAAAGACATCAGAGCCGAGGGGGACAAAAGTAGGGCTGCTGCTGAGACAAAGAGGGGCTCGGTCACGGCCGAGGGGGGCTTCATTCGGATGCATGGCTCTTTTGTCCACCTGCACAAAGGCCAGAGGACCCTGGGAGTTCATTTTCCAGGACACGCGGCCACTCAGTTTGGGGTTGAAGCCTTTTACGTTGCCATTACCTCGCAGCATCTATCATTGACACGCGTCTCCCTTCCTTTTTCAGTGACAGAGATGGAAGTAGGTCATTAGTTGCCCATTTCTTGTGAATATAGTGAGAGCACAGTGTGGGGTTATTGCTGAGAATTAACCGTTTTCACTTTAAATGTAAGCAAAAATCAACTGTTTTCATCAAAGAAATTGAAGTTTTTGTTGTAGAGATGCAAATAATGACTGTTCACTTCTAGTAGAACATCTTGTGCATCTCAATTTTCTTGTTAAACTACCTGGGCACCAAACTGTAGGTTTCTGTCTCGTGTTGAACTCATGTTTTGATTTGCATTACGATTAATCAGGCACCCACTTCCTGAGTATAGTCAAATAATATTCCAGTTACAACGGCTGCAAAGAGCAATTTCTCAATATGCATCGTCAAAAGCAGAGAGCAGATAACACAGAGATGAGTAAGAGTGGGATATTGGCTTCCACTTAATTTGAAAATGCAGGTTTTTTCAAGACTAAAATGTAACCTCATAAGGATATATATAGCATATCTTTTTTTTTTTTTAAAGGGCACTGTGGGAGACAAATGTCCCGACAACATGAGGTCCTGGGGGGTCATGGCCTGGTGTGGCCAAGGGACATTTACCTAAAATAAACCCTGATATCTTCTTTCCTCTTTAAACAGATGCCACACACACTGAGGGGGTTGAGCAGACATCAAAGAGCCTTTAATCACTTTATGACAGGAACCTTGAGGTGAATGAGCAGCTAGTGAGGACTCCTCTCATTCACATGCTAAGCTTTTATCTTATCAGACGGCAATGGAGACGCTCACCCACATGAGAAGTAGGGGGGAAATACACCCCCATCCCCCAAAGCTCTCTACCTCCCACTCGGTATGTAAGAAGGTAAATGAAGGCGTTGGGTAAACTTGGATGAACCGAGAAGTTTTCTTTTTATCTCTTCAATTTGAGAAAGAAACAATGAAACCTTGAGTGGAAACATCACCAACGATAACATTCAAAGTTAGATTTGGCCCACAAAATACCATCAGGGTGGTCATACATACATACATACTACATACATCATACATACATGCATTGTATAGTCAATGATTGTTAGCCTCATACAAAAGGCAAAATCATTAATATTGCCAGACAAAGGTGTGTGTGTGTGTGTCTAAGAAGCATATTCTAACAGTTAAAAATAAGTGGTCAATAATCAATGTGGAGATAGTGTGCCTTTTCACTGAGGTCAAACAATGTATCACTAATTTGAAAAGCTTCCACTTTGTGAAAATATGTAATGCTAAATGGTAAATCTACTCCTCATTTTCCAAACAAATACTTAAGTTATATCGATGTTGAAATGGCTTCAGGAGAGGATCAATTGAACGTTTCCTTCTTCTTAAAAGAGCAGTTTTCATGCAGCTCACACAGCACTCATGGGATCTATATTCACCATCTTATAAGCATTGATGCCAGGCTATTGGAGCGTGCAAGCTCTAACCACAAGTTGGTTTCTACCTCACATAAAAAAAATCACGAGGGAGTCCGGCAGATCTCCTCTGGCTGCAACACGTGTTCCCTGATGGAGAAACACCCTACACTACAAACAACACCCGGTTAAAATATCTCATTTAAATTAACTTGAATCAACTTTCATTAGGTTTTCGGTTAACTTAACATGGCTATTTTTGTGGGTGTCGTTTTTCAAGGACTAATGACACATTGGTGACGAGTGACTAGTTTCAACAATGCAAAAAACACACGCATTTATCTGTATTAGAAACGGGTGGGATGATCTCACTGTTGCTGGTTGGAAATCTCACTTAAAAGTGGATTTTCAGTCCCCCATGTGTTGATACTTTTTGTTGCAATGTTGAGATGCATCTCCAGTTGGGGTTTCCGGCCATTGAATTTCACAATTTTCAAAAGGAACCGAGATAAAGTCATTCTACCTGATGGACAAATACGTCGACCGGTTCTTCCAGAGGCACTCCCTCCCGGTCCGTCATGGACAGGAACCCGAAGCCCATGCGGACGTTGAACCATTTGCACACGCCGACTCCGTGGAAAGACTGGCAGTCCTCCTCGGTGCACGGTCCTTCATCCTCCTCGGGCTTACACACTCCTGCAATACATACAAAATAAGCATTATTAATTAAAAACCTACTTATTTTTCTCTTAAAATAATACTGTTTTCCAAAAAAAAGGCTTCATTTCAATAGTAAAACTTTTTTCCCCTTTCTTTCGCGTCGCTGCATCACCAATCAATACAAATCAATGAAATTAGTAACAAGCTGAGGCTGCGTTTTGGCTTAATTTCGATCATCACACATGTCCTAAAAGCAACTAAACAACATTATTTCTGAATGAATATCCCCTTTTTCTGAGCTAAAAAGGCAATTTACAGGGTTTGCAGGATGTAATAATCTCTACAAAACCTATCGATAGTCGCTCGTATCGACCCTCACGTGCATGAACAATGCCTTTTAAATTCTTCACTACGACCATGCGAAAGCCCCATCAGAAAACAAGTTAATTAACTCGTACAAAAACAGCAAAAAGCAGTTTATTTTGTTACTCCACCTGGGAATTCCTGGTTTGAAACGGAACCCATGTCTTCAGTTCTGCCTTGAGTCAAAATAAGCACTCAAGCTACAGTATCCTTTTTCTCTAGCCCTCAAACTGGGTAATCCTCACAGATTGCCACTTTCATGCAAAATGCAGCTAAAGACAGAAACTGCGCAGTGAGAGGGAAAGCGGGAGAGGGAGGTAAACAAAAGGGGGCAGGCAACCTATTCCTCCTAAACAATGAGGTGGAGGGGGTGGGGGTCATCGGGCAGGATTTTTACTTTAGAATCCCCCCCTCAAAAAAAGGAAAAACTTGTAAAACAATGCAAGAAGAGATAACTCCACCCCAAAGCTCCCAACATACCTTCTGCCATGTTTGTGGGCCAGTTTATTCCTGGTGTCTTTCTTTCTTTCTTGCAAAGCCTTTTCCTCCTCTCTCTCTCTTCTGCAGTGGTCAGCTCGGTGTGTTGGTCAATACAAATGACAATTTCTCATCCAACAAACCCCCCACACACTCTCGGTCATGTCCACGTGATTCACAATTGTATTCCCCAAGGATGTATTGGATATTATGTGATAGAAGGGCCCAGATGTGGGAAGTGACCAACACCCCTCACGAAAAATACTTAGGTTTTAATGGTGTTTCTTTCAGTTTTAAGAGACTCTCAGGAAGATACAGTGTCTTAAATATTTTTACAAAATACCCTTTTGTTTGAAAATCACAGTTTGTAGTAATTTGGTTGAAGGACAGAGCTTATTTATGTATACAACAAGTTAAACCTCCTTTAATCAGGTATTTCTCAATGTCCAACACCCAATAGATAAATGTTTAAATCATATCACGGAAATAGGCAGAAATAAATAACACATTTTACATCCATTGAAGTGTGATCAAAACGTAGAAATACGAAGGAAATAAACCTGAAACCGACAGGGTTTTTTGTAAGACTGATTTGGTTTAATATATGGGTTTTACTTAGTTTAATTATCTTTAGGACAATATGATTTATTGCAAGTCACCTTTGTCCATTTGCTTATTTTATGTGTTCCACTCATGGCAATTAAGACACAAAAGTGTGCTTCATGTAATATCGTGTTTTGTTTCTCGTTGTGATTGCGTTTGTTTCTTTGCTATCAGTGGGCTGCTGTCCTAACATGCCACAGGGGTTTGTAATGCTAATCCAGATGAAACATGGCGGGGGGAAGTGTTGTCCTCCCAGGAAGGAGCGGAGAAGCAGCTAAACTGACTCAAACCTCCGAGGCCAAGAGTTTCAAATATACAAGAAAACGAAAGTGAACTTGAACTAAACAAGACAAAAAAGAATACATAACTGATATTTTGTTTTACTCCCCAAAATACAAGATGCATCATGTAAACAAGCCAAGCTGGCCAAACGAATTCATGGATCGATAGTGATTGATCACATGCATCACGTAAAGATGTTGACTCGTGTCCTTGAGGAGTGATGGATGAATCAAAGACACAGGAAAGTGATCTCCCAACCAAGCTTGAAAGAAAACAATCCAGCTACGAAATAACCAACATGTAGGCCTAACTAAAATGTTTTACATTGATTAACTACAACATAAGAGTTAGCTGATTAAAAAGAACTACAGCTGGCATTAAAGAACTATAATAAAAGGGAAATATAAAGCAAGATAGGAAACATACATATTTGTGGGAATATTAATTGGTTCTGATTATACCGACACACGTAAGAAGGATAAGCCACGTTTTTTTGGGATGATTAAATCCTATTAAATAAGAAGTTTAGCCTAATTGTCCTCCTGTGAGAAGGAGAAAGACCTTCAGTTCAATTAGTTACAATTATCTGCCGTGATACAATTATTTTTACTTAACTTTACAAGTTATCAGTCTTTTAAAAAATATATTTTTTGGGGAACGAAAACAGCTCCACCTTTGTGTGCGGCCTGATGGGTGCATGTTTCAGAGGTGACTTGTCGATTTCATCACAAGTACACAACGACCCCTTGTGGACCCGCAAAACACCGATCTGTGCCTCCAAACATTACATAATCGACAGAACTACATTTACCACATTAGATGAATGACAAAAGTATAAATCAAAGAAAGCTATGCACAACGCCAAAGTGTTAAGTAGTGCTACCAATAAACTATCTTGAAAAATACAAACATCTTTGAATACAAATATGTTTATAAACAGGCTTCCCTATAAAGATTTAAGCTAAAACAAGTTTGTTATTTAGCCGATTATAACCACGCAAATCAACATGTAGATTTGTACCAGAAATGAAGTCGTTTTTATGACTTTGGGAAACTGGCATTCTATTATGATGGTGAAATTTAAAAAGGTCTTTTCATGTGGTATTTTTAAATCTCAAAAACGATGGGCATATTATAAAAATCTTGTTGATCCTGCAGTTTTTGAAGCTTTAAAAGTACCTTTGTGAATACAAAAAATTAACTAACCTAGAAAGTAAGAAGATAAAAAAAAAACGATCCATATTTATTTTAGCATCTTTTGGAGATAAACATACATAATTTAGAATTGTAAGACCAAACTTCACATTATAAAAGCTGTATATTTACGCTACATTATTATACATGTTGGTATCATGTGTCCTTCATCAACAATTTGCTCGACAAGGGGATGGAGTTTTTTGGACAAACCTCTGAACATGTCAGTCATTTATATTTAATTAAACGCCTAACACCATATATACATTCAAAACTTTGGTTGCACGAATATATAACATTGTATGCCTATAATAAACTGCTCAGTAGACAATTTAAGTACACTCTAATGAAGTATCATGAGCCGGGGGTTAGTATTTGAAGTGCTGCCTCAGATTATTCCGGCTTGAAGCCAAGATCTCCCTGTTGGACTCCAGACAGGGTTCAACGAGTTATGAACTACAAAGATGACTGTCTCTTGTTAATTAATCAAGTGTGTTTTTTTTTAACTAACATTGCTTTCCTTTAGGCAATATGAATGAGAGCAAACCGCAGGAGGTCCTTCTGCCGATGTTACTTTAGGAATCCTAACCTCCAGCATCGTTTTCTGTCATAAATACAGAATAAATAGATAAATGCTTTCGATCAAAAAATAAATTAATGATAATAACAATAATATTAATAACATATTATTTGAAATCACTCAATAGGAATATTTTTTATTTTTCTATATCCCGGCAGTACCTGAAGGCATCACTGTGAAGTAATCGTTGTTTTTTTTATGAACTGACCGCTAGATGTCAGTATAACTGAACTCACTGTGTAGTCAATACATAAATGTGAAAACCAATTCTCACAATTGACAGCGTGTGATGTTCTAAAGAGATTAGTCTCTGTTAAGAGTCATAATGGCATAAAGGCCGTAGTCTACCATGTAGCTTGTGCGCAGACAACACTTGTCTACATTTTTTGTTTCTATAGATTTGTGTATTGGCATGGTTTTGCAGCCACTTACAAAAAGCAAAATAGAGATGAGATGAGCCCCGCCTGTTTGATATCATAAACGCACTGTGTGGAGCAGAAACTAACCAACCACGGAGGCTGGACAGTCCCCCGGACACCATCACCGGATAGCATCATTCACCGGATAGGATCACCGGATAGCATCACCGGAGAGCCTCAAAGTCTGCATCCCAACACCGGTCGCCTGTCCGGGATCAGCTGCTGGGTGGGACTCTGCAGCCAGCTGGAGGATTGACAGTTTGGAGATCAGTGAGTGTAGCGTTTGAATGGAAAGGGCATCGGCAACTTCTGTCCGGATGCATCGTTAAAATAAAGCATTTTTCAAGAAAGTCTCCCATCAGCTGTAGAGAGAACACGTTATAGATTTGCTTATTTATTCCCATTGTAAAGTGCGTAACAAGCGCTTTGCAAAGTGAGTTTCCTCACAGGCTTCACTACGCAGTTTAGCAGAATGCAAACCATGAAGCCGCAGAAGAAAGTTAGAGATCTAAAAGCAAACTGCGTCAGATAGTCTACTGCGACTAGACTGCAACCATGTAGCTAGTTTGTTTTGGTTATTCATCCAGAAGAATATGACATTTGCGGTTACCATGCAAGACACTTTTGAAGAGTAGCCCGTAGGTTGTGAGGTGAACTATAGGAAGCAGAATCAGTAAAGAGAGGTTTATCTGCGCTCCCATCCACGCAGTTTGCAGCTTCTGCTACTCCTGACAAACATGGCAAGACTACGGAGGAAAGCTTGCATAGCTATGTTTCTCTTTACGCTCTTTATCTTTGGAGCCATGATGGGGCTGCGGACCCTGAAGCCCACGGACGGTTTCTCGGATCTGTCTCCAGGCGTGGAGCTCCTGCCGATGAACGGGGGGAAGATGGACCGGAGATCCGTGTCCCGTGACGCCTCCGCTGCTCCTGGTGAAGCCCAACCGGGAGCTAGCAACACAAAAGCAGTTATGTCCAACTCCGGACCCGAAGGGACTATATTTTATGATGTTCATATATTTTACTACACCTGGTACGGTAACCCAAACTTGGACGGTAAATACATTCATTGGGACCACATACTGGTTCCTCACTGGGACATCAAAGTAGCTTCCAGCTATCCGAGAGGGAGACACATGCCACCCGAGGACGTCGGTTCTAGTTTCTACCCCGAACTTAATCCCTACAGCTCGAGGGACCCGGATGTGTTGGAGTCCCACATGGAACAGATCGGGGCATCTGCTGCAGGTACAATACAGTTCAGAGAACCAACGGACTCCATGAAGTTCTTGAAAAGATAAAGCAAAAACAGAGTGTGTTCTCTGTAGCTACTTGAGGGCTAAACTCATTTCAGCACCACATCCAGTGGACAGCTCAGCTCAAAGTCCTGAAAAACCTGCTGCTGCACTTTTTCTGCTGCACAGGGATACACTTTATGGCTTTACAAGCTACAGTAAGCAATATATATTAACTCATTAAGACTATATTATGTCTAAACTACATTTCCTGGCTATCACAATACATAAAAAAAAGAGAAGTGTGATTCAATTTAATCAATTTAGTCTGTTTTTCAGCATAGCATAACCCTGGGCTGGGTAATATCGGGATTCAAAATACCTTAAAAAAAGATTCACATGGCAAAGTCATCCTTTCAAATCTTTAACATGACGAAAGATACTATACTCAAGAACTCAAAAGGAAATAAAGATATGAAATAGGGAAATAGAATAGTGCAAAGAGACATTTTGATGCATTTTGAGAACTTAAGGCTCAGATCCCGTCATTGGACATCTCTTGACATATTGCTCTGTTTGTTGTCTTTTCAAAAACACATATGGCTTCCCTAAAAGAGAGCAAAGTCCTGCAGCCTGGTGTCGAGTAACAGCCGGGTGTACCCAGCTGTCTGCAGCCTACACATGATAGGCCCTGATGTTTCGGTCCTGCGGCTCACAAGGTTATTGTACACCATGCGTAATGACCAGGCCAACCATCTCTTTTGTTACATCAACTCCCTGACAGATGGATCATGGGAGTTCTGGCCCACAATGCTTAGTAAAAAGAATCCATTTAATTAGACACCACAGTCTGCCAAACTCTAAATACTTCCATTTGGCTTGAAAACTGACTCCCCACCACTTCAGAAGGCCCATAAATAAAATGAATAGCAGCGGCCATATTCTTAATACACAGACATAGTTGGGTATTGTAATCTAACAGTCTTACAGAAAACAGACATACATTGAATGATTGAGCTCTTAGTGCAGTATCTGATGTGCCAAATCCTCTCTAGTCACAGTTGCCATTGTGGCCAATATGTTTCTCTGTCAGAGCATCAGGATGCATTTCACTACTGGAATGTATGAGCCGTCATAAACTCAAACTGCGTGGAGAGATTGCCACTAAAACAAAAGATAATAAATAGTTCAAAGTTGACAGTTCATATTCATCAATCAGGCACTGGATGAGTGGAAAGAAGGCATTCACTCTCCTCCGTACAGCCATGAATGGATTACTGATCTGGCCTGCTTTGGCTTTATTTGATGTGAATGTCAACATTTGTTATGGACAACAAACTGAAGGCTTTTAAGAGTGTTCCTATGTCAAAGCAGGTCTCGTAATTAATTCATCAACAGCATTGGAGCAACAACCAACACAAATAAAGATAAAGAAAAAAAAAAACACCATACATAGAGACGATAAATAAGCAGGGTGGAAAAACTAACACCAAGAGTTGCAAAATGGCCACAAAGAAACCCAATACGATCGCAAAGAGACATGTTTTGCTCGTTGTGGCGTTTTTCTCCTTTTTAGATGGGTCTACATATTGGTGCCTTAGGATCCAGTCGTATAATTTATCCACGCTGACAGCATCACATCACACACCTTACCAGCATCCGTCTGCTCCTATAAAACATGATAACTACCCTTAGATTGTAATTACCCTAATGGATTACCAGGGCAGAATTCGCCCAGTGTGTTCAATAAGAGCACAACTGAATGTGTTCGTTCAGTGGTCTCAAATGTCAAACTGTGTAAAGGGCGGCATGAAAACCTCCTTGTAGATTAATAAAAGTAAACATTTGTCAGCTCAGGTTCCTCCCCACAGGGTTGTCAGCATTTTTTACAATGAGCATGAAATCCATACGTCATTAAAACAATGCAATTGAACCAATAACACTTTTATTGGTTAATTTGCATTTTGGACATCAGCAGTACGTGCGCTATGAGGTATTACCATTGTCTTACGTATAGGAAGGATGATCAGACTCATGAGTTTCTGTGCGTCTCCAGGGGTTCTGGTCCTGTCCTGGTATCCTCCGGGCTTTGCTGACGACAACGGGGAACCCACTGAGGATTTGGTCCCATCTGTACTGGATGCTGCATATAGACACAACCTCAAGGTAAAAGGCATCAGCACATTTTGAGTGAGTGTGTTGGAAAGTGTGTGTGGGTCAGATATGAAACAAAGTGGGGAAAGAGTCCAAGGCTGGATGAAGAGCAATACATAAAAATCCTTTTTGAGTCATGACATTGACGCAGGGAACTGATTGTTGATTTTTCAATGATTTGTCCATTTTGAATCAGCAGCGGTGAGAGAAAAGTTGGTTTTCCATTAGTAATGCTACAATGGGCGTTGTAGTGGGTATTCCAAATCGTATCTTTCTTTATATTTGTATTTATTTAACATTTACATAAACAGGTGAAACACATTGAACCAGCCTCTCTTCAGACCAGAGAAGACAGATAAAGCAATACTAAAAACACATAATACTAAAAACAGATTGAAAGCAGCCAAAACAAATGTTACAACAGACAGAAGCTATATGTCTTACAGGTGTTTATTTTAGGGATATATATGTAGTAAACTCAGAATGGGTTAAAAAAAAAAGAAGAAAATATACCATGGACAAACCGGATGTCTTAAAAACGTGATAACTTCAGTCTCAGGTTGCTTAAAAGAAGACACATCAGGCCACATATCTATATATTTTAACAAGTAACACATTATGAAGTCTTTCCCTTAGTTGTAGGCTAGCATTATAAAACAACATAGGTAGCGTAGTTAGGTTAGTTATGTAGAAGTTAGCTTTTATTGAGTTTTGTACTCGTTTAGAACCCTTAATATTGAGTGATCACAGATCGCCAAATATTAAGGGTCGACTGTATTCATTAAGTGTATCTGGTAGAGAAGAACCAAAGCTAAACATCTTATCATATGCATAGATTTGATTTGTTAAATGCACATTAAAGCCTAAATCGTATAGAGAAAATAAAAGTAGGCCGAGCACAGAACCTTGAGGAACTCCATTAACTACAATAACTCTGCTTTTCAATGGCAATGCTTGGACAGATCCCTATCACTTCATTTCTGAATCATTGCCAGATCAATGTCTAAATTACACAATCTGTCTATTATCTCTCCATCCAGTTATCTCACTAAGAGCACAGTGACAAAGGGGCTAGAAAAAGGATGAATGATGCTTCACAGAGGTGAGCAGAGAGCTTAAAACTGCACATGGTAGTAATCTCAACACAGACATGGTGCTGTGGGTGTTTCTCAATGTCGAGGACGCTTCATTGGTAGGACAAGTCCCTCAGAGTCAGGTCCTTCAGGAGATGCAAGATGCAAGAATCCTTCCTAGCCTCGTAAAACGAAGAATTGTGGAACAGGCTAACAGGTGTGCAGATGTGCGTCATATGCGAGGCCCCACCTTAAATGGAGCGCGATTTCCGCCAAATATTTGGAAATTGGTCCGTGCGCAAAGCATTGTGGGGATTTTAAGACCGCAGAGGATACACATGTGCAGCCTCAACATTTCCCGCAACGAAGGACGCCGGCCTCGGTAGAATTCCAAGCATCCTGGACATTGGAACAGTCCTTTGGCGGGACTCGATGACGTAGCATCCTTGAAATAGTGGCTCTGGAGCAGCCTTCCTCGACATTGAGAAACACCCTGTGTATAAACCGCGGTTTGTTTTTAGAAACAGTTAGTACGTTTCAGAGATTTAGAACCTGGCGTGGTGCTTCTTTTAAAGCTATCTGTGCTTCTTAGTGATTTGATGTTTGCAGCTGCAGTGACATCTCGAGAATTAGAGAAAAATAGGTCAAATAGCTGCTGCTGGATCAGTAGGGGATTGAATGAGCTCGGGAGCACATCAGCAGGGCAGAGAGGTGGGGGGTTGCAAAACCACATGACCAATTTGCCAATTAGGCTGGAAAATGGCATATTGAAGGGAATAACCACCCACTATGTTGGCCTCTCTGCCTGCTGTTTCTGTATCGAAGGCCTTATTAAACTTTTAAGGGCTAAGCTTGCGGGTAATGCGATACAATTCCTGTCAGATTCTCCCCGGATAAAGAGCGAGGGAAAGTATAACGAAACAGAGGCTATGACACAGTGATCAGAGCTGGAGGTGTTTTTTGTCCGACTGTCACATAGAAATTCTCCAAAACGAGTATTGACAAAGATACATCATGTGGATTTGTGCATATTTACAGCTACCCAGAAGCTCTCTGTATGAATTTGAAATGACATATAAGAGAGACAGGCGCTTAAGAGTTTTCTTATGTCAAAGCAGGTGCAGTGAATAATTCAAAACAGCATTTGTGCCAAACACTGAATGTCTAAAGAAAATAAAAAGCAGCCAAACGACAAGATCAAAGCATCGACATTTCTTTCAGGTGAAGTGTCAGTATTTCGATGATTTGATTATTGGTTTTAAGAATTTTAAAGCAAAATGAATATAAACCCTTCTATGTAGCCTCTCCAACATTAATATCGTCTGCTTTTCTTTGTAGTGTAATTTAAATGCAGAAGTGGGCATTATTTTTGTTTATCAGTATTTTATTGACTTGTGAATAATTTAAAGAATCAATCAATGTTTATTTATATAGCCCAATATCTCAAATGTTACATTTGTCTCAGTGGACTTCAGTTTGTGCAGAATATCAGTATGACAACACGAAACCCTCTGTCCTTAGACCCTCACATCGTACAAGGAAAAACTTCCAGAGAAAACCCACAGTTTAAAAGGAAAAATGGGAGAAACCTCAGTGAGGAGCAGGACAGCAGGGAGGTAGTCCCTCCGTCTGCTCCAGACGCGACAGACGTTGCAAGTAGCAGTTGCCGTGTGTTAAATCGAAAAGGATAAGTACATTTAACCAACATAGGTAGGACCGAATGTTTGGATGCTGTGTCTATAATAATGAAAGATGAATCACGCGGATATCAGCGAATCTTGGTGGGGAGCATCGGAGAAGTAGTGATGATCGAGTCAGGCAGCAGGACCGCGCAGGACAAGGTTCGGAGCACGAAAGAAGGAGTGTAACCACTCATGGTATAATGGAACTAACAACCCCTTATGGACAATCCATGAGGAAATAAAAGCGCAACAAAAAGCCATGGCATGAGGTTATTTTTCATTATCATTTTCAATAAATGCACATTAATGAACACTTTAGACAAAATAATGCGTCAAGTGTAAAATATGCCAAATTTGAAGTTTTGAGCTAGTTTCCATCCCGTTTAACAGTCCCCTCACATGGAGCATTTATGTACATAGAATAAAATAAATACATGGACATGCAGAAAGGCAAGAGCAGCATTTACACAAGTAATTTACCACATGGCAGTTCAATGTTAGCAGCTATTAGACATATAGTTCAAAAGGGGAATACAAGAGCTTTACAATAAAAGTGCAGAGGAGATACCCCGTGTGTTAAAGTGCATTTAGCTGTGTGATTGCACGTCTGTTTGTTTCCTCAACCAGTTCTCTGAGTTGAGCTTTGAAGCTGAGGTGTTGAGTCAATCCCGTATCTCAGTTGGGAAGGCTGTTCCCAGAAGAGCGTGCTTCCACAGCCTCCTCTGGTTTCTGACCTAGGCAGCGTCCAGTGTGTTTTTATGTTCCCACTATTTTAGGTGGTAAAGTCAACAATCACTGACTTAAGGTACACGTTGGTTTGTACAACTTCTTTAAAGTTGTTACCAAGGTAATGACAAAAGCTAAGCATTGTAAAATGTAACAAATTATGGAACGCCTAGTGTCTGTTATCTTATTGAAGGGGTGAAATTTATTTCCCGTGCGTCTTATCGTTCCCCACAAAAACTCTGATGAACAGAGGTCTGTCCAGGCACTCTGTCCAGATTTGGATATTGCAATTTGTTTAGTGTTCTTTGTTGGGCTGCAGACAGGAGGAATAATGTATCTTTGCAAGGGCTAAGACAAGAAAGCTGATTAGACCATCAAACTATATGTTTTAAAAATCTTTCAAGAAGACCTTTACATTGGAATTTACATGCCAGTTATTTCACGATACATCAAAACTAAATGAAAAGCGCAAATGAAAATTTACAAAATAAATCCACATTAACTCTAAAAAATATGACTTTATAAAACACGTGAATCAAGCACCGAAAAAGTGAGAATTATCCGTTGTGTGTAAGCCAGCAAATGTTATTTATTTTTAATTTTATTTTGATAAAAATACAATAAACTGAATATTCAAAGTTATTTAATTTGGATTTGATAATTTCCCATTGTGTCCCTCACCATGAATTTTATTTAATGAAACTGATACATGATATGGCAGGAAGGAGCAAAAGGAGTCCTAAGTAATGGCCAGTACAGATTTACGAATTAAAGGTGAAGGAAAAGATTCAAGAGACATAAAAGTTGCAAGAGGAGATATCCCTGTGAAAGTGATAGCCATTTGTTTCTTCAACCATTCTCTGAGTTTGGCTTTAGCTAATTAAATTACCGTATCTCAAGAATTGGGAGGCATGCACAATGAGCGCCTTTAATTTGGGAGAGGGAGATATTTCTGCAAAAGTGTCCGTCTGCGGTGGACTTCACGTCTCCTCTGGTTTCTGACCTAGTGCGCGTCCAGTGTTGATTTTTTTATGGATGAATAATCACATGTCACTTGTTAGGGACGGCTTTATCCCCAAAAAGGACTTCCATTTATCAATACTTGGTCAATCCCACATGGAGCAATTTGGGGTTAAGTGTCTCAGGGACACAACGACCATTGCTGACTGCAGTGGGGGTTTTGAACCTGTGACCCTAGGGTTGCAAAGGGGCTCGGAAAGTTTCCATGGAAGTTAAGCTGGGGATTTTGGAAATATTCGAAGCAAATTAAACAAAAACATGAACATTTTTTAAAAAAATGTTTTTAATTAGAACAGGAACAAGTTTTTAATGTATT